GACCCTTACAAGCCAAGCATACCATCTCTGCCCGACCGTGAGATAAGCGAACGCTCATATCGACGACATGCCAGTAACCACCAAACTACTCTACTGAATATTATGAAGAACCAGTTGTCAAAGGAAGAAAAATTATGAAATAACATAAAGAACTTCACTTGACGATCTGCGTACTCACTGAATAGGTTGAACTAATCGAAATTTTATTGTCCTTTACGATGAGTTTCCGGTGATTAAATAAACAGTAACCCCAACGTAACTTAAGGGGGTAGATCAAGGCTAACTCGGCCAAATCTTGCAGGCTTTTCCTTTTTTCCAGATTGAAGTTTAGTGACATCACCTGGCAAAACATTGTAATTTGATAGGCCATATATGGAAGGGTAAATGCAATCGACGTTAGGGCATCATGTGGACGGCAATCATATTTACAACGCAGCATGTAAGACTTCACATATAACGTGAGCGCTAATTACAGTCAATTTCACCTTGCCATGAATTTCAAAAGCAATTTACGCCTAAGGAAAAATAATATTTATATTGGATTCCGACGTCAAACTTGCGAAAAACTATAGTACCTAAATATTAATCTTAGGTTTGCACTTGAAAATTTGTTCTGTATTAATACAAACTTTTCGATTTGAAAAGGAATAATCGATTCTCAAAGTTCCCAAAAGGAAATCTTAGGTTGTTCATCTTGAACCTTTACCTTTCTTTACTCTTTTATGATTCGCTTCACGGTCAATTTCACTGCATCTCTTCCTTTTCGACAGATTTTTAAGAGAAAATAATTCAAGCTTTTAGGCAAGACATTTAAAAATGTCTTGTATTATTCATGAACAAGAAATAAGGATGCTTGATCCTAGGAAGTTTCATTACATATACGTTTTGAAGGCCGGAACAAAAAGGTTTTCGAGTTTCTTCACGTGATCAGTAAAGCCGTAAGTTCTGTTCGATCATAAAAAAACGAGATCAAAGTTACTTATACCCAACAGTCTCACACTAGAGTGAGTCAGTGAGCGAGTGAAATACTGGTAATAGGACTGAGTGGAGTCTGTAATCATACGATTTCTTTTACATCGCGTGACGAGATGAACGAACCAAAAAACTAGATCAAAGTAACTTATTTACGACAGTGTCTACACAGAGTGACTCAGTGAGTGAGTTAACATTTGCACATCAGTCCCTACCAGTTTCTACGGTTCGCTTACCTGCGAGTTAACAAAGTTGATGTACTTCAACACGGAAGCTGAGTCAGTCCAGTAGTAAACTTGATCTACTTCCATGTCCAATTGTTCTCGAATAATTCTGGAGAGCCTTACGGAGATAACACTGGCTGTCAGTTCCAATCTTGGAATTGAAATTGCATTTATGAGCCCTTATCTTGCTTTTCCCATGACAAATGCACAGTGAACTTGGTTGGTGACATCTTTCAAATGGAGGTAAATGACGGCTGGATATCATTGTCGAGAAGTGTCTGAGAAGAGGTGTAGTTTTACTTCTTTAACTTCACCAAATCCCTTGAGCTTGAAACAGTGGACTACTTGCATTTCTTGCTGCTTTGGTAGATTATCTAGCCAGCACTTTCATTGCTTTTTTTCATCTTCCTCTTATGGGTCATCCCTGCCCAAACTCTTTCTACTGAGTGTTAGCAACAGCAACGTAGCCCTCATGACATATGGCACTATGAATCCAAAAGGATTGAAGATGGGATAAACAGCTGACACAATCCCTTTTCGTGTCATTGGTCTCTTTTTCGTTAGCTGCAATATCTTCTCCAATACCTCCAATGCAAACTTGTCTTTCTCTGTATTCCACTGGAGGCCAAGAGCACTATCTGTAGGAAGTCGTTCAAGCTATACGTTAACCACAGATTTGGCTCTTCCAGACTCTAAGATCGCAGCCAGCACTTCTTCATCATTACTATACCACTTCTTCAAGCGAAACCGCCTTTCTCTAACAACCTGCGCAGTTGAATTGCTAAATAGGCTGCTTTCTTTGTGGCACCTGCTGACTTCATCATGTCATCTGCATATATGCTGCACTTCACAGGGCCGTAGCTAGCATGATGCAAGACGATGCAATTGCCTCGTCTTGATTTTGGTCTAAGATTGACTTTTCTGAGGAAAAATGCTACGGGAAATGCTTAGAAGAGCATTTCTGAGCCTCTATATTTCAAAATTTTCTAAGAAGGGGGGGGGGGGGGAGCCTGCCCCCAGCCCCCCTTAGTGGCTTGCGCCTTCAGCGCTCGAAACTTGCCTCGTCTTGTTCTGAAGTCTGGCTACGGCCCTGCTTCGCTGTCGCTTCTACTTTTGCATCAAACCCCTCCTGATTCAACTGGGCTGTCTTCCTAGGACAGAAATTAGCAACGCTTGGTGAAGATGTAGCACCAAATAGATGTTTCACCATTCGATACTCTTGCATTTCCTTTGCCAGGTCCCTACTCGGCCACCATACAAATCTTTTTTTAGATCTAAGAAGTGTCACAATCTTTTGGGTCCACCATGAATTGGTGAAACTTGCTTTTATGTCACCAACTACTAGTGATGTTTGTCCAAACTTTGCTGCACAATCATGAACCAGCCTCGCCTTTGCCGAGCTTTTAGGGATGCTTTACTGGGTAGTGAGGGAGGTACCACACTGGTTTATCCCTTGTGTTCAACTCTTCTTCAAGAACTCTTTCTGCATGTCTTCTTTCTATGTAGTCGTTTATTGTCGCCCGTTATTTCCTCGACAATTCTTCATCCTTCATAAGACACCTCTTCAAAAACAGAGCTCTTCGCTCTGCCATCACCTTGTTGTTGAGTTTGTACGGTAGGTCGTGTTGCCAGGGCAAAGTAACTTGAAAGTGTCCATGGACTTGCTGCAGAATCCCTTCCATGATCTTAAAAGCTCTCTTGTCTTCGACTGGTGCGCAAACTTTGGTCTCTACTTCTGTGTTTTCAAAGTATGTTTTCCATAGCCTTTCTAACTGCTGGTGTCATTCTTCATTGCGAATTTGGCATTCAGTTTTGCTGTCCAATAATATACTGAAGTCTTTCTGATCAAGTCAAGTTATCAGCGGATTCTTTTAAAGGACCTTGGTCTATAGCATCATCATCTGATCGCTCATTAAATCTTCCACCTTTTAATTATTAGACTAACACACACACTTTCATCTTCCAAGTTAGGAACGTTGTCGTGAACAAAAAGACCCTCTATGGTACGTGTGAATTTTGCTGAACAATTTGGGCTATCCTTTTGGTCCCCAACAGGACCAATTACAGCATTTCTTAAACTTTATCTGACCGCGAATGGTTTATCTTCTCCTCCTGCCTTGTGCTCAAGCGGAAGGAACGAATTGGGCTTCTCCTTGAGACCAACCTCTAACATAAGGAGAGGTACCCGGTTTTTCATCAGCTATAACAACTAAGTAACTTACTTGAATTCACTATGATCGTACATGTATGCGACCCATCACGAGATTTCAGGGAATAAGGTGAACGCACGCTCACGGTACACTAGCACACTAAAACAAAAGAACGAGCTTTTAAAACGTTAGCTGCGTGTAAGTTATTTATCCCATTAACTTCGCAACTATTGTCTTGCTTCGCACGGTAGAAACAAAGGAACGTGTTAAGATCTTGCTCCCAACTTTGCACAATATAACACGGTGACCGTGCCAATTTTATAACATATAATAATTACAATTTCCGATAAAAGAAGAATATCCAGGTTATGAAAGAAAAGTAAAACATTTGCATTAAAAGACTGACAAAGGAGGCGTAAATTGTTTTACTGTTTGATAGGTTGATTGACTCATTGACCTGTCCAATAACAAACTTTTGGATAAAAACCACAGAAAATGATAATTTTGACGATTACACTATTAATTTTCTTTAAAAAAGGAAATCTATTTACTCCGCTTCTGGTGTCATAGGATAATCGCGGTGTAAGATTTCGTGGTTTTCCAGTGGTCGTAATTTGCATTAATAATTAACTTAACCTCTTCTTGTTAAAGCGTCAAAGTCTTGCGTGAGAAGATAAGTCAGCGTATGACGCTGAAAGTTCAGGAAGAAAAGTTGTGTATTTTCTGTGGGGAACAGAACGTTACTTGACTGATTTCCTATACTCTTGTCTATAATCTTTTTTTTGTTTTTTTAGTCGTGTCATGTCCTGTGACTATGAAGTCATGTTATGTTGTGCAAAAATCGTTCGTCAAACCTCTGAGGCCTCACAATATTTTCAAATATTCCATGCCACATTGTAGAATGTCAAGAAATCTTCCGGAGAGTTGTTGTAAAAGGTTATCTCTCTTGTTAGCCTAAGAATTGAAACGCTTAAAAGGCTTTATTGTAAACACGTTCTGACGGCAGGTAAAAATGCAGATAGAAAACGAAGCATTACATTCATACTGCAGACCACTATTTACTGGTTTCTTTGCCGAATACTGGCAATACAATATCATTGATTCCTCAAGATTATCAAATGCTCTAATGGAGGGCTAACGCTCGAAACGTCAGCTTCAGAAACTCATTACGATGGCCAATTTACATTGTCAACTCAGTTGGTAAAGCCAAATAGTTTTGTAATACCCCACCAAAGTTTCTTTAAAAACTTACTCCGTAGATTAATGTTGTTTATAAAAACTATGCATAGGAAAAGTTCTCATTGCAAAAGTTAAGATAAATGCTGTCAATTTTGTTTGTCTTTGTCCTGAGACTTTAAAGTCATGTAATGTTCTGCAAAAATCACAACTTGAGTAAAATGAAAGGTGACAAACCCGACTTCTTCACTTATTTTTTGTTTTAAGGGGATATTGTGAATTCTAACACTTTCAGCTTGTTACAAATAGTTTCCGGGTGTAATCGACCCAGCCCGTTTTTGTAATTTAACATGCGTGTTCCTGATTGTAGTGACTCGTTATTAATCCAGATTATCAACTCATTTAGTATTGTGTTACTAAAAACAATGTTTACCTGATAACAGGGGAGGATGGCAATGGAAACCTAACAGCAGAAGCCATGACACCTTTCATGAGCATCGCCTTATTTGTTGCCCTGTTCTTGCTCAACTCAGATCGCATTCAGAAAGCCATTGAGATATGCAGGGAATGTTTGGTTTTGCTAAATAGCACTGAAAAAAACAGCAAAGACCAATTTGATTCAGTACTGCTACAATTTTACAGCGACATCTATACCGTTCTTTTCAGCGCTTATCGTCATATCTCTGACAACATAAGTGCAGAAAGATACGGGAAGAAACTGTTTGACTTATACAGCGAGTCTGGAATTATGCTTTACAAACTTGGCGAAAACCTGAAAGCGAAGGAGTATGTTGAGAGGGCCCTTACCATAACAACCAAAGTTGGCGACAGAAGCGGAGAAGCATGCTGTTACGGAAACCTTGGAGCGTTGCTTCAACTGCTTGGCCAATACGACAAGGCTAATGAGTATCTCCAAAAGGCGCTTGTCATCAATACTGAAATTGGCGACAGAAAAGGGGAGGCAACTGACTACGGAAACCTAGGTACTGTGTTTGAGTCGCTTGGCCAATACGACAAGGCAAAAGAGTATCTCAAAAAAGCGCTTGTCATCGATACTGAAATTGGCGACAGAAAAGGGGAGGCAACTGACTACGGAAACCTAGGTACTGTGTTTGAGTCGCTTGGCCAATACGACAAGGCAAAAGAGTATCTCAAAAAAGCGCTTGTCATCAATACTGAAATTGGCGACAGAAAAGGGGAGGCAACTGACTACGGAAACCTAGGTACTGTATTTCAGTCGCTTGGCCAATACGACAAAGCAAAAGAGTATCTCGAAAAAGCGCTTGTCATCACAACTGAAATTGGCGACAGAAAAGTAGAAGCATCATGCTATGGAAGCCTAGGTACTGTGTTTTTTTCGCTTGGCCAATACGCCAAGGCTAAAGAGTATCTCCAAAAAGCACTTGTCATCACAACTGAAATTGGCGACAGAAAAGGGGAGGCAACTCACTACGGAAATCTAGGTACTGTGTTTGAGTCGCTTGGCCAATACGACAAGGCTAAAGAGTATCTCCAAAAAGCACTTGTCATCACAACTGAAATTGGCGACAGAAAAGGGGAAGCAACATGTTATGAAAACCTAGGTACTGTGTTTGAGTCGCTTGCCCAATACGACAAGGCTAAAGAATATCTCCAAAAAGAGCTTGTCATCATAACTGAAATTCGCGACAAGAAAGGGGAAGCATCATGTTACGGAAAGCTAGGTATTGTGTTTCAGTCGCTTGGCCGATACGACAAGGCAAAAGAGTATTACAAAAAAGCGCTTATCATCACAACTGAAATTGGCGACAGAAATGTGGAAGCATCAATCTATGGAAACCTAGGTACTGTGTTTGGGTCGCTTGGCCAATACGACAAGGCTAAAGAGTATCTCCAAAAGGCGCTTGTCATCAAAACTGAAATTGGCGACAGAAAAGGGGAGGCATCATGTTATGTAAACCTGAGCAATGTGTGTGAGTTGCTTGACCAACATGACAAGGCTAAAGAGTATCTCAAAAAAGCGCTTGTCATCATGACTGGAATCGGCGACAGAAAAGGGGAAGCATCATGTTATGGAAACCTAGGTGCTGTGTTTCAGTCGCTTGGCCAATACGACAAGGCTCAAGAGTATCTCCAAAAAGCACTTGTCATCACAACTGAAATTGGCGACAGAAAAGGGGAGGCATCATGTTATGGAAACCTAGGTGCTGTGTTTCAGTCGCTTGGCCAATACGACAAGGCTAAAGAGTATCTCCAAAAAGCACTTGTCATCAGAACTGAAATTGGCGACAGAAAAGGGGAGGCATCATGTTATGGAAACCTAGGTGCTGTGTTTGAGTCGCTTGGCCAATACGACAAGGCTAAAGAGTATCTCCAAAAAGCGCTTGTCATCAGAACTGAAATTGGCGACAGAAAAGGGGAAGCATCATGTTATGGAAGCCTAGGTACTGTGTTTCTATCGCTTGGCCAATACGACAAGGCTAAAGAGTATCACCAAGAAGTGCTTGTCATCACAACTGAAATTGGGGACAGAAAAGGGGAAGGATCATGTTATGGAAACCTAGGTACTGTGTTTGAGTCGCTTGGCCAATACGACAAGGCTAAAGAGTATTTCCAAAAGGCGCTTGTTATCAAAACTGAAATTGGCGACAGACAAGGGGAAGCATCATGTTATGGAAACCTAGGTGCTGTTTTTGAGTCCCTTGGCCAATACGACAAGGCTAAAGAGTATCTCCATAAGGCGCTTGTCATCAGAACTGGAATTGGCGAAAGACAAGGGGAAGCATCATGTTATGGAAAGCTAGGTATTGTGTTTTATTTGCTTGGCCAATACGACAAGGCTAAAGAGTATCTCCAAAAAGCGCTTGTCATCATGACTGAAATTGGCGACAGAAAAGGGGAAGGATCATGTTATGGAAACCTAGGTACTGTGTTTGAGTCGCTTGGCCAA